AAATAAATCAAAGTATAAATATCATTCAAGAAAGGAAGTTCACGATAATATTAACTTAATAAATAAAATATAAAAACTTGTTACCTTTTGTTTCTTATTTTTTTTTACAATCTTTTACAAAATAATTGAACTTCTACCACCACATTGTTCCTCTAATTTTTGTATTTAATTTAAAAAAAAAGAAATACAGACATATATATGTGTATGTCATGAATAAATAAATCAAAGTATAAATATCATTCAAGAAAGGAAGTTCAGGATAATATTAACTTGCTAAAACGATTGATCGAAAGGTTGAGATGGTGACACCTAACAGGACAATAGCATGATCATCGTAATAGCTCAACCATAATGATAGATAAGATCACACACTCTATCTTTTACTCTTGTTAAAGACTTTTTAAATATAGTTAAGAACACACACACACCTATAAATATATATATATAGATACTTGAGTTCAATTTAGTTTACATATTAATTTTTTTTTGAAGAACCTATGGTGTACTATCATTTCTATACACGTATATATACACGCATACGCGTTTACTGATTACTTACACCTACGTATTTACGTAGGATGAAAAGATATGATTGTTAGGGCGTTAATCTTTGATTATTTAAAAAAGAAAATAACAAAACATAACGATCTTAAGATTATTCTTCACTCGTAGATTGAGTCATCTTATAGTTTTTTTTTTCAATATTGCAACTATTATAATCTCTGGTATATTAGTGTTACTTTTTATCAAATTTTTTGTTGATTCAAATGAGAAAACAAACTGTGTACAATTAAATCTAATTAATCTCCATTCGATTATCTAATTTCGGTATAATATTAATTACAATTTAACAAACAATCTTAAATATTCGTTTACGTATATGTTTTATTATTTATTTATGATAAGAAAATCTTAATTAAAAATAATATATTTAATTAAAATTCATGTATCACGTTGAACGTTAATATATTTAATATTATGATTATTTGATTTTAAATATTAACGATAAATATCAATTTTTGGTTAATTAATTTGTTCAAAACGTTATACAATTGAGATTTAAAATGAAAAGTAAATAATACAATTTGGAATACTAGTTTATAAATGGTGAATTCGGTAGGATAGTAAAATTCTTTCGAGAAACACGGAACCAGCTCCAGGAACATCGCGTGCCGCCGAAATATTCCAAGGAATATGCTAATTCAGCAATTAGTCTGTTTCTTATTGCCACTGCGTTCGTTTTGTAACAATCGTAAGAAAAAAAAAAAATAATAATAATAATTTATTCTATTTCTTTTCGATTGGTACCGAAAAAACATAATTTTCTGTTTTTTCCAAAATAATTTTCTGTCAACGTTTAAAAACACAATTGCAAAATTGTATAAAAATACTTCTCATTCAATCCTTAGATCAAAATATAATTTTTAAAATGATAAAATAAATAATAATAACAATAATAATTGAAAAAAAGGAGAGAGAAAAATTATTGAAAGTATGAAAACAATAAAATTCACGTTTAAAAAAATTATTCAAGAAAAAGATAAATAAAAGAACAAAGATTACAATTTTAATTAACAATTGAATATGTTGTACGATTAAATCAAATCAAATCAAAAAAAAAAGGAAGCAACAATAATATATATAATAAAGAGATTAAAGTAAAACATCCTAAGAATGGAAATAAAGAAATAATGCAACTGGTCTATGGTCTCCGATTAAACGTCGAGTATTATTAAAAAGTGTACAATTACAGTAATATACTCGAAGTACTGATTATACCACTGGCAACGAGTTCTTACGCATTTATTACACTCCTTGTGTATCCTAGATCTATGTGAAGCGTTAAAAGTCTTACCCCTGAACTCTCCTAACACGCAATCATAAATATAATATCGACTTTGGCACACATATGTTTCCTAACAACGGTATATTAGAAACTTTAACACAATTAAAACCCTTTTATATATTTTTTCTTTCTTTTTCTAAACATCAACTCTAATCCATTACTATATTTTTTTTAATCAAACATACATATAAACACATAACACGTGTATACTCACATATGAATGAATAAAAATTACTAGATAAAAGTATGAAATTTATAAATTAAATACATACCGCGATAATATTTGAATGAATTCATTTATCTCATTCATCGTGTCTCAAGTTAATTTCAATTCATTTATTCTTATTAAAATATTTTGGAATTTACATTGAAAAAATTGTGTATGCACAAATGAATCATCATTTTTATACTTACTCTTGATCATCAACTCTAATGTTGTTTTTGCATTCACTTGTACATGCACACATACACCAACATATATAAGGATGTGCATATGGTTGTATTTGTTTCCCTTGATCAGTATAGCAGGTTTGAACAATTATGCTAATAAGTTATTCAAAAGAGATAGAAAGAGATGAAATATTCGACACCTTAACTTCTTTCTTACATACAATGTATTCTTATTTTTTTTTTCTTTTCTTTTTCTTTTTCTTACTTTACTAACTTACATTAATTATACCACCACAACGTATAACACGTTCGCTCTCGCGTTTTGAGAACGTGACCCCGTGTATCGTAGCTCGACAACATCCGCCCTGAATTAATTGAATACTTTACACGCGAACCTATTGCAACCCTCGTTACCAGAGACCATCGGAAGTTCGACTTGAAAAATGATGAAAATTTTCACATATATTCATAAATAATTTTATATATTTTTTTTTTACTTTTCCATTAACATCGAATTGAATTCTAATCATTTCTTATTTTGGTTATACAATATTTTATAATAAATTAGAAAAATTTAGATTGATTTTAAATTAGATTATTTCGAAAATTTATATTGACAAATAAAAAACAAATGATTAATATTATATATAATAATAAATAATTATTAAATAAATATATATATGTGAAATATATTTAATAAAATAAGTATGATTTAATTATCAAAGAATCACGACAGTTGTTCTTGTCTTCATCATTGTCTTTCATTCATTTTTTAATAATATTTTATATATACTAAATCTTTGAAGTATATATACAATAAAAAAAACAATCTATCTAAAATTGATCAAAAACCGTTTGTACACTTTTCATCTAAAAAAATTAACGTTAATTGGTTAATATTTCGCGTAACATTAAACCATGTTTTTAACTGAAGAGTAAACTTTCGCAACGATATCATTAATATAATAGAATTTTCATACGTGCATGTGTGTGTGTCGATAATGTATAATATATTTAATTATTAAATAATTTATGATATTTACTTTTATAATACGAGAGTAAAAGACTCCATAAATAAGCTCCTAATTATCGAAAAAAATGTGACAGGTGTTATCTTGATCATCCTTCGAACGTATACACACATACACACGCACACGAACACGCGCGAGAACTCGTATATGCATATCACTTGCAATTACATCATTCGTGAACAATCTAAAACAATATAACTATATGGAAAACGCATATGACCACCATAAATGTTCAAACAAAACTATCCTAATATTAAAATTGAAAAAATATTGAACTTACATTTGATGTATTCCTATGTACAAGTAATCCAAATTTATGTATGTTACTCTCCAACGATGAACACACACAAATACACACACATACACTCGCGAACATATGCATATCACTTGCACAATCACAAAACACGAATACGTATACGCGAAATAAATTTGATAATACTTTTCTAATACCGTTTACACACCTCTCGCGATGTTCGAATAAGACTGAGCTTAATAATTATGTTGTATACTCGAAGGTTACCGAATTATTTTCCGAACGAACACGAAGGTTAATGAGTTTACAAGCTCGACAGTTAGAT